TGACAGCACCTTCCTCGGCCAAAACTATGAAGGCGAGGACGAGGACGACAACTCCTATGCTCCGTCCTCCTCCCCCGACGAGGCCGACTTTGAGGACGCGGTCGACGGGGATCCTATGGACGTCGAGGACGACGAAGAAGACGATGACACCGAGGATGAGGACGCCGCTGCCTAGACTCTCCCTTCTTTTCCTTTCTTACTATGATTGTTTTTCTTTAAAATTTCCATTCCGTTGTATTCTGCATCTCCCTTTTCTTAAGCAATAAAAGTAAACTTTCAAATTCTAAAGTTTACTTTAATTCTTTTTGTTAATGTCAAAAGGGGGAAGATATCAAGGTTATGCACAAATTGAGGGGGAATTTTTTAATAAATTGGCATCTATTCAGGGGGAACTTTTTTTTAAAAAAACAAATCCTCATATGCATAACCTCATCTCGTTTGCCATTATCAAAAAGGGGGAAATTGTTGAAACACGGGCTTGTCACGTTTTCGTACTAAAGCCGTGTTCGTTTTTGTAACAGGTTTTGATAATGCCAAACCGCCGTGATCAAGTCAAACAATGAATATACAAGGCGAAGAATGGAAAGTTAAACGAGAGCCAAAAGAGACCAAGAACGAAGACCGAAGTCCTTAGCTTTGTTGAGTCGGTCATAATTGTAACCAAGACCGACCCAACCCTCACGCATAGGCTCTTTAGGCTAAAATCTTCTTTACATTCCCTAAATCATAAAAATGTTTTTCAAACATGTTTAAGTCATTAAAAACACTTGGTGTTCGCCCAAACCAAAAACCAAGCCATTCGGCGTTCGGGTTTCAGAAACCGGCGTTCGGCTCCCGGTTATCGGCTAGGGTTTTTGGCGTCTGAACCAACCAAGTGGTTTTCAACTTTTTATGATTGGTTTTCACTCTTTGGCATGTTTAAACGGTTCTCCAACAAAAACACCTTGAAAACCATCTTTCGCTTTTGGTCGTTTGACAAAAATCATTCAAAACGGCATAAACTCGGCTAGCCGTGGTTTTCACTCAAATGACGTGGTTTTTAAAGTGTCTTACTTTATTTCTTAGCCAAATACATCAAACAAGTATTCTAAACACTTGGTTTTTATTTTGGAGAACTTTGAATTTTTCGGTCGGTTTTCGCATCGGTTGGCTAGGCCGTGGTTAAGGCAAAAACCATGGGTTCCTGACTAACCACCCACCCAACGATGGGAAGATCTTCCCATTGATGGGTAAGCGGTCCCTTAGCCAAACAAATTTCCAGAACCATGCCAAACAGCGATGGGAAGTTCTACCCATCGCTGTTCAAGCCTTGGTGCAAAATTAACACAAGGCAGAACGACCTTGCCCAGCGATGGGAAACCTGTCCCATCGATGGGAACCCAGTGATGGTAAGGGTATACCATCGATGGGAAGGCATGACCGTTGGTGGTCATTAAAGGTTGATTCTTTCCTTGTTTGGAAGTCAACCTCCCACCCAGCGATGGGAAGCTTGTACCTATCGATGGGTAGGCGACCGTTGACTTCAAAACTGAAGGAAAATTGGCTTACCAGCGATGGTTGAGTCTAAACATCGATGGGAAGCCAATATTCTGCAGATCCCAAATTTTTTCAATCCCATAAATCAAGCTAATCACCCCTTTAATGTATTGGTCCGTTGGAGCCTAATTTTGCATTATAAAAAGGGGTGTTTGGGTCTGCTTTTCTCACCAATTCACTTCACAACATCCATACTTTCATTGCATTCAAATATCATAATTTTCCATAGCTTTCTAGAGCCATTTGTGTGTGAAGGTTGAGTTGTTCTTGAGCGTACTTAGTTTACTCATAATCTACTCTACAAGAGAGTCTCGTTCTTGAGTGTACTTGTGTTCTTAGACACGTTGAGAGAAAGTATTTCTCTCGTTGATTCAAAGGAAGGTCTGTTTCCTTTGAAGGATTCGTTGAGGTTCGTGTGACTCGAACTCTCAAGTTGTAACGGTTTGTTAAGCACCCNTCATTGCATTCAAATATCATAATTTTCCATAGCTTTCTAGAGCCATTTGTGTGTGAAGGTTGAGTTGTTCTTGAGCGTACTTAGTTTACTCATAATCTACTCTACAAGAGAGTCTCGTTCTTGAGTGTACTTGTGTTCTTAGACACGTTGAGAGAAAGTATTTCTCTCGTTGATTCAAAGGAAGGTCTGTTTCCTTTGAAGGGTTCGTTGAGGTTCGTGTGACTCGAACTCTCAAGTTGTAACGGTTTATTAAGCACCCGCAAGCTTAACGAGATAGTGGTGTAGCTCGAGAGAGTCTCTCGGGAGGCTGGATTAGCCACAAGTTGTGGTGAACCAGGGTAAAATTCGGTGTGCCTTTTACTCTTCTCTTTACTTCTCGTTTAATTTTTAATTCTTGCGATTTCTCCGATCAAACGCTATTCACCCCCCCTCTAGCGTTGGTCTATTATTCTAACACTTCTTCCCCATATGCTCCACCGCTTAGAACGATACTACCTTCGTCCACCTGTGGAGGCAACCTGGTTCCATTTAACAACGCATTAGATTAGTAAATATAAACAATGAACATTGTTCATTTTTATACATATTAAATTAATATACCTGGCTCTAAATTCAGTGACCTCATCAAAATTACCATCGAACAGCATCTTTGTAACATGAAACGCAGTAGAGACAGTGACAGTACCTATAAACATACAATGTAATTTAAATAGTGGGTTTACCCCCATAACGCATTGGGTGGTAAAAACCAAATAATGTAAATAGTTAGTTTACCTCTATAACGCCTAGGGTGGCAAAAACTCAACAACATGACAACCGGCTCATGGGCATTCTGGGCCAAACATCCCAGAAATTGATCAACATATTCCCCCCACAGGGTACATCCCAGACGATTCCCCCTATAGTAGCACAACGGGGACCAAATTAGAATTTATTATTTCTATTTAATTAAATGCTGATATTTTGTATAATATTTTAGCTTACTCATGGTCTTCTAGAGTAACTTCCATAAACTTTTGTTCTCTGCCTCTGATTAAGTTTGTTTGAATCTTGGTTCGGGCAACAATCTTTCCAATCACATCTGCATAACAATTCTTGTGATTACGTACTGGATCAAATATGTCTAAATAAAAATTCATTTGCGGAATGCATGAAGGTAATTAGATTATTTTTGAAAAAAATCGATTGGATCGTTTCAATTATAATATAGTAAGAAATAATACCTGACGCAATTCCTTAGGTATTCCCATAATTGATCACATTTATATTTCGCTATGCATTTGTGTACATGTTCTAATGTAAAATTTGTCTATGTGTATATTTTGTTATGATTATGTGTTTGTGTCGTTGTGTATTTGAGTACACATTTCATAGTGCAATTTGTTAAGCAATTGCTCAAGCAATCTGCTTCGGCATAAGTCATTTTGTATATGTATCTATACTCGCTTTTGTTTGAATGACAAAGATAGACAGTTTTTAGCACCTATTTATTTCGGCCACACATTATTTTCATAAAGAAGCTTAAGAATAAAAAAAATGTTGTAAGAAATATTACCAATCAGAAGTTGATCATTCAAACATGGTTGACTTTGAAGAATTGGAAATGACTTCAAGTCGAACATCATCCGGGGGAAATTATTTCGATTTAAAGTTTTCACTTCGGTCCTTTTGAAAAAACCCAAGAGCTTATCATTGCTAGCAGTTTTCAATCTTTGATAATTGTCATGGACAAAAACATTTCGAATGGCATATATGCCACCTTCAATGATTTGCGTTTCAAACTTCTCTTTTTCCTCTCGAGCAAGATGTGCGTGAATCCTCGTTCCCTAAAAAAAGTATACAAAGTGAGATTATGAATTTTGGGTTGAAAAAAAAACGAATGTAATTACTTGTAGAATATATTACATGCTCATCGTGAAAGACGATCTCCATGGAATCTCCACCTTTCGCCCATTTAGGAACGAAGTAAACCCGAATAGCCCTCAACATGAGAATCCAAGAATTCTTATCGCGGTTGATTTCCGCAATCGGAGTGAACATTGTCATGGACTTGTTTTCGGAATTTTGAGCCATATTTGGATATTTATGAAGCTTAATCCGTACGCTAATATAACTGGTTCGAATGGGAAGAGGTGTGGTTTTGGATGGGAAGAGGTGTATATATATAATTTCGGATAAGCAAGTAGGTTTAAGCACATTAAATGCTTGGATTTTGTAAATCTAAGCATTAAATAGATAAGATGTAAAGCTGCACACTTCCACATAAACTGTTAATATATTGCTTTATGGAGCTCCACACCCCACCGTCAAACGCAACCCAAGAAACTGCTAGGATGCCTGCCCAATCCAGCTCCACTGTCGGCCCAAATCCAGCAGCAAGCCCGGCCCAATAAATGGATGTGAAATTGGCGAGAACACTATTCCTAAGAGCTTCTTACCATTGTATATAGAAGGATTTTTTCTTCTATTACTATTCGCAGTATTAGCTTTAAGCACGTAAATATTAAATATTAAATCGAGCATAATTTTTATTAGATTTAGAATATTTTTACTTAATACAAAATATCATTAATGCTCTATTAAATTAAAATGCCAATAATAAATTCATCTACACCATATCTCATTAGATAAAATCAAATCAGATCAGATTCGATTAGATCAAATCAGACCAAATCAGATCTGATCCAATCACATCAGATTAGATAAGATCAGAACTTCAAAAATTCATATCAAATTCGATTAGATCAAGCATACGGAACAGAGCCTAAACCTTTATTGAAAAATTAATTTCAAATTTTTTAAAATTCTTTTAAGTTTTTTCAAATTCAATTCTTCCTATTCTTTCTAGCTTCTTCCAGTGTGTTCCAACTACAACTTAAAAAGGTATTTATATATGATGAGTATACAATAATATTATATACTCCCTCCGTCCGGAAATAATCTTCCCGTTTCTCCTTTTTCTCCGTCCAGAAATAATCTTCTCATTTCAATTTTTGATACACTAACTACCCAAAATACCCCCACTTACCATTTTCACTCTATCTCTCTCCTCTCCCCTTTCTCTCCACTCCCTCATTTCCTCGCCACTCACACCTTATCTTTTTCTCCTCCCTCTTCTCCATTTCTTCATTCGTTCATCATCATCAGCCCCTCTTTCTCTCCATCCTCTTCTCTTTTTCTTCTTCTTTTCCCCTTATTCTTCTTCTCACCCATGTTCTTTCTCAAGATGAGTTCGTCCTTCTTCTTCTTCTTCTTCTTCTTCTTCTTCTTCTTCTCCTTTTCCAATTCTTATCTTCCCTCTCTCGCAGATCTACGGTTCTTCTTCTTCTCTTTTTCCAATTCTTCTCTTTCCTTTCTCGCAGATCTACGGTAGATCTGTTCCCTTTTCTCTGTCTCCAAGAGGTAGAGATGGTGGCGGCTATAGACGATGGTGCGAAGGTGGTGAAGGTTGAGGGGCGATGGTGTTGAGGGTTAAGGCGAGAGTGGTGGGGGCGGGGTCAATCGCCGGTGATGATTGGGGGTGGGTCAATCGCCGGCGATGATTGGGGGTGGGTCAATCGCCGGCAATGATTGGGGGCGGTGGGTGCTAGCCTCGGCAGTGTTGGGGCTGTAAGTGTAAAACAAGTAAGAAATGAAGGGTATATTAGACATATCCCTTCCAAAGTCAACCATTCAAAAAAATGAGAAAAAGTCCAAATGGGAAGATTTTTCCCGGACGGAGGGAGTATCTAAATTTATTATATACCACCTCAAACACGGACAATATAATTTTTTTCTAAAACTAGAGTTTTCATACATATTTATTTGAAGTGTTATTTAATTGAGTGATATTTTAACATTTAAATTCTTCCAACACTTACCAACTTCTAGTTTCTTCCAACTCCTTCTAGTTTATTCTAATGTCCAACTATGTGGATACCGATCTAGTAGCAACCCGGTTCGTTAATCTATTTATTCGGATTATGCGAGTTGGGGTGTTACATATTTCATAATATTAATTCAACATGTAATTATCACCAATAAGCTTACAACATCAAACTTACTAAATTTTAACACAAGGCTCCCACTCATACAATCATGCAATCAAACTTTGTTACATAGCGAATTATAATAAAGAATCATTCTATGAGTTTCATGCCATCTTGTTGCCCCCTCCGCTATCGGATAGAAGTGAGCTCTAGAAGCCAACTTATGATTCCATATCTAATTAAATATTGAAAATAAAAGTCCCTAAAGATTGTTTAATCATCTCATGTGATTTAAACATAGCTTTAGTCCATAGAGTAGGCACTCTACTAACATAGATGACAACTACGACGTTCTGATTATGAGACTGTTACAAAGATAGAGGCTATATATGTCTAAAATATCCTTAGTCGAATATTATAAAAATAAGGATATCATAATATATTAAGACTAATACGCATGAGATGAGATAGATGTGTTTCATAGACTATAGATAAAATGTTATTTGAATCTATGTGTAGGCAAAAATGGTGGATATATATGTTGCGGATTGACTCGCTATTAAAATAGAATATGGGTTTAAATTAAAGTGTTAATATTATTCTCATGCAACCATTAGTATATTTATCCTTCAACTTTGGGCATGTTTGGGAATAGCGTTAGTGATTAGCGTTAGAATTTTGGATAAAATTGTAACGGTGTAGATTTCTTTGAAAACACTAACGCTAAATGATATCCGTAGATAACCTTTTCAAAACGCTAACGCTAATCGCTAACCCAATTCCCAAACACCCCATTTAAGTCATTATGATATCTCAATAAGCTGAGTTGCATTTTTTGAAGCATGATTAATGCAAATGAAACTTAAGTAGGGATGTGAATGACGTAGATAGAATTTATCCCTTCCTTTGTAAAGTATAATATCTATGGGCCCACTGATTGATGTAACTTAGGAAATGCATGACCATGTCCAAATAAATATGTTATTAGAATCCCGCAAGTCAATCAAAGGATTAGTAAACCATCGTTTTAACTCTAACAAGGAAAAACACCTCATACCTTGTGTTAAATAAAGATGTTAGTAATAAATGGATAATAGTTATACAATTGAGATGTGTCGTTGAAGTAATTGTTCCAAAAGCTTTATATCTATAACTTGGGGGTGATAATGTATTGCTAGATACCGCTTATCACTTATAGTATCTAACAATTACTATGACCAACTTTATAGATACCTAGAATACGGTCATACACATAGAACGTATGAAATGCGTAAAATATTGAAGTGGAGTAAAGTTACGTTCTATATTTTGTGTATATTATATTTTGCATTTTATGATTACATACACAAACATATATAAATTTATGTTTATATTTGGACATTTTAATTATATGTTAATTAAGTATGTCAAATATAATTAATAATAATAATATGTATACGGATATATATAATAAATTATTTATTATTTTATTATTAATGTAACACATAAACATATATTTATATTTCATATTGGGACATTTTAATTATATGATAATTAAGTTTGTCAAATATTATTTAAAGAACAAAATATAACATTAAAATATTATATATATATATATATTATGCGTATATATGTATTTATATATTCACCGTGTATATACATAATTTTTTGTATATCTGAATAATTTTTTAAAGAAAATTTGACATAGTTTTTGTAATTGACTGAATAGAGATTTTTTTAAACAGAACATTTTTTATTTTTCAATTGACTCAAAAAAAAATATCTATTACCCTAAAAAAATAATTTGTTTGAGTAAAAAATATTTTGTTATCTTTACAATGTTTCTAACACTTAAATAAAACAAGTTTTCAGAAATCTTCACTTCATTTCAAGGACTGCGTACGTAATCTATGTTTATCGAACACTTCGGTTTCTTTGCTTTCTTGATCCAATTTGTTAAGAAACCATTTGTCGATGTGTTTGTCATTTATCAAAATCTGAAAAAGAATAACAATACATAGAAAATATCTAAAGAGGTTTGAACTCATGTCCAACATTCTTGTTTATATAAAATTATAGTTTTCTTACATATTTATTTGAATTATCAATTAATTGAGTGACTTTTAACACTTTAATTTTTCTAATAAATTTCAATTTCTTTCAATTTCCTCCAATCCATTCTAGTTTTTCCAACTCCTTCCACTTTCTTCCAACATCTAACTCTGAAACTTCAACATCTAATAATTTAGTTTTAATTTGAGGGTTCCTGTGACGTATTCTAATGTGAGTTAAATGAACAATACAACAATAATGACAATGACAATGAACTACGATTTTGATGAAAGATATTCCGCTTATGATAAGTTATACTTTTAACCTCAAATTAATACCACTATGATAAAAAATAAAAAAATTATTTATGAAAAGATACTCATAAAAAAGACCACTAACATAACTGTTAGCGGGTATTTGTAGTTTTGGACTGTAATTAGTTTATCGGACCCACTTGTAACTCATAACCCTAAGCCCGCTTGTACTTGTATATATACACTTGCTTGTGATTAATAAAATCAGATCATTTTTCATTATAATTCTACATGGCATCAAAGCCAAAACCTGGGCCAGATACGTTTTTTTTCCGGTGCTGATCTCGATCGACTCACGCCGTCGATCGTGTGTTTGTGTGTGATCTTGTGTGGCCGGCGAATTTCCCGTCGGCGATCGCTGAGTACTGGGGCGTTCCTTCGGCAGAGGCTTCGGCAATTATTGGACCAATTGTTTCTTGTGTCACCTGCAATTGTTCCTTCGGCAGAGGCTTCGGCGATCTTGTTCTGTTCAATTATTGGCACAATACTCCAATAATTTGGTCTCCTACGATTGTTCTGTTTCTCTTTGTTGCGGCACCGCTATTGGTTTCTTGTGTCAAGCTTTGAAGATCGGCAATGACGTCCACCACGAAGAAAACTCGTCTGATTCATGATCCCTCGTCTGAGTATTATCTTCATCCTTCCGAAGGCCCAGGTAATGCTCTCACGAAGCATGTTTTGAAAGGCGATAATTTTGATACATGGGAGAAAACTATTGTGAATGCGTTGAAGGGTCGTAGCAAGGCAGGTTTTTTGTCACCCGTTGGTGTGCCTAAACCTACAGATCCGATGGAAATCGAAGCTTGGGAAGCCAATAATTCTACAATTTGTAGTTGGATTTTTAACAGTGTTGAAGAAACAATTCAACCCAGTATTGCTTCCCATACTGTGGTTCATGAATTGTTGACAGATTTGAAGGCGCGCTATATCACGGTGAATGAGCCTCACATCTACCAACTCGAGAACGAGTTGCAAAATCTTCGTCAGAAAGGCCAAACTGTGGTCATTTACTATAATCAGTTTGTCACTATTTGGAATAAATTATATGGCATGGAGGATCCCATTTGTGGGTGCAAGTGTGAGGCGGCTGCTTTGTTGAAGGATCGTGCTGAAAAATCGAAGACACGGAAGTTTTTGTTGGGATTGGATGATGAACAATTTGGTAGCATACGTGGACAAATTCTTGGCACTCAACCGTTGGTGGATCTCAACAAAGCATTTTATTTGATAACCCAAGAGGAGCGACATAAAAGTGTGGTTCGTGCGTGTGACGATCACACGGATGCCATGGCGTTTGCTACCCCAAGGACCACTCCAAATATATATCAATGCACTCATTGTGGTAAATCGGGACATACCGTTGATAGATGTTATATGATCATTGGTTTTCCCAATTCTGGCAGAGGACGTGGTCGCAATTCTTTCAGTCGAGGGGGAGGTCGGGGGAACCGTGGAGGACGGTCTGCTGCCCAACCGACACCTACTGCCGTCGGTACTGCCGCCGGTCAGCCTACAGGCAGCGCTGGACCGTCGGCCCATGCAGCGGCTGAGGCTCCCCCGTCTCTTTCTTCCCTATCGCCCGATCAGGTTGCCCGATTATTTTCCATGCTTGACTCATCACCCTCCACTTTCGAGAAGTTATCAGGTACATCTACTTCATGTGAATGGTTAATAGACAGCGGGGCCTCTCATCATATGACAGGTGTTCTCTCGTGTTTGACGGATATAAAATTTGTGCCTCCGTGTACTATTAGCCTACCGGATGGAGCACGCGTTGTCGTGAACTCGTGTGGACGAGTGCGAGTGTCTCCGAATTTGATTCTTACTGATGTGCTTTATGTGCCTAATTTGAAATGCAATCTTATTTCTGTGAGTTGTCTTGTCAACTCTCACGCTTGTCGTGTATTCTTTAATGACCAATTTTGTGTGATACAGGACCGAACTTCGAAGACGCAGATTGGACGATGTGAAGTGCGCAATGGAGTTTATGTCCTTCCATCTTTTGCCCAGGCATCCAAAGCCGAGTCCGTTTCTCTTTTGCATCAGCGTCTTGGTCATCCGTCTCCTCAAGTTTTGTCTTCACCTCCTTTCAATAAAAGTGCAGCTGAAATTAAAAATTTTCAGTCTTGTGACATTTGTTTCTTTTCCAAGCAAACTCGTTTCAGTTTTCCTTCAAGTATTAATAAAGCTGATGCCTTGTTTGATTTAATTCACTGTGATTTATGGGGCCCATATTCCCCATGTTTGTCTACGGGTTCACATTATTTTCTTACCATTGTTGATGATTATTCCAGAGCTGTTTGGGTTTTCCTTATAATTGATAAAACAGAAGTTACTAGTTGTCTCAAACAGTTCTTCCAAATGATTCAAACCCAATTTGGGAAAGTTATAAAAGTTGTTCGTACAGATAATGGGACTGAGTTTGTGAATAAACCCTTGCGTCAATTTTATTCTTCCATGGGGGTACTTGTTCAAACTTCATGCGTCAACACCCCACAACAAAATGGGCGTGTGGAACGAAAACACAGACATATTCTTAACGTCGCACACTCTCTAATGTTTCAGGCGTCTTTACCCATTGAATTTTGGGGTGAATGCGTGCGTACTGCTGTGTATCTTATTAATCGTACCCCTACTCCTCTTCTTCAGGGTAAATCACCATTTGAACTCCTTTCTTCCAAACCTCCAGACTTGTCTCTACTAAGGGTATTTGGGTGTTTATGTTATGTCCGTCTCAATCCTCGACCGCAAAATAAATTTCAACCCCGTAGTATTAAATGTATGTTTGTGGGATATCCTACGGGGACTAAGGGTTGGCGTGTCTATGATCTTGAATCCCACAGATTCTTCTGTTCTCGAGACGTTTCGTTTAACGAAACCGTTTTTCCGTTTGCGTTAACCACGCCGACCCCCGTGTCATCCACTACCGAACCCACTACTCATGCGGATTTTCCCACCAGCCAACCCACCGTCGAGCAACCCACTGCATCGTCCCCTTCTCCTACTTCGTCGTCTCCCTCCGGGCAGTCTCCTCTCCATTCCGATAGCGACGGCGAGTCTGACCCGGACAGTCCGCCGTTGCCCGTCCGTCCTACCCGTGATCGGCGTCCTCCTGCTAGGTTAGCCGATTACTTTTGTCACACCGCCCGGACATCTACTCCCATTGCTCCTAGCATTGTTCCGTCCAAGTCTTCAGGTACGCGATATCCTATCCACAATTTTGTTCATTATGAGAAATTACATGACAGGTACCGGGGATTTCTGGCTGCGGTGACTTCGTGTGAGGTCCCAACCTCTTTCAAACAGGCAATGCAACATGCAAATTGGCGACGGGCTATGCAACAGGAGATCACCGCTTTGGAAAATAATCACACGTGGGAGGTAACTGATCTTCCCCCCGATCGGACGGCGCTAGGATGTCAGTGGGTCTACCGTACCAAGTTTCACTCGGATGGGACAAAAGAACGTGATAAAGCTCGCCTGGTTGTTTTGGGAAACCATCAGAAGTTTGGTACGGATTATACGGACACTTTTGCTCCCGTGGCCAAAATGGGTACGGTGCGTATTTTATTATCTGTTGCTGTTGCACGAGGTTGGGAGATTCATCAGTTAGATGTTAATAATGCATTTTTGAATGGTGATCTTATTGATGAAGTGTATATGCGCATGCCCCCTGGTTTTTCTATTCTTGGAAAAGTTTGCCGCCTTCGCAAATCATTATATGGCCTTCGTCAGTCTCCACGTAATTGGTTTCATAAACTCAGCACTGCACTTCGCCAGTGGGGGTTTAAACAGACTCATAAGGATCATACTTTGTTTATTCTTCGTCAGGGCCCTAATATTCTTACGGTCTTGGTGTATGTTGATGATATCTTGGTTGCAGGCAATAACTCATCTTTATGTGCGTCTTTTAAACGTTATTTGGACCGTTGCTTTCAGCTCAAAGATCTCGGCCCAGTCAAGTATTTCTTGGGCATTGAATGTGCCCGCTCTGCGTCGGGGATGGTCTTGTGTCAGCGAAAATATGCTCTGGAGATCTTACAGGAAGCCGGTCTTTTGGGTTGTAAACCGGCGGACACACCATTGCCCACGACGCACGCTCTTGGCACGTCGACCGCGGCTGCCATGCACGACCCTGTGCGGTATCGCCGTCTCGTGGGGCGTTTGATTTATCTCACTATCACTCGGCCGGATATTTGCTATTCAGTTCATGTTTTGTCCCAGTTTATGCAGGCTCCTACCCTAGATCACATGAATGCTGCCATGCGTGTTCTTCGGTACATCAAGGGTCATCCCGGTCAGGGCATCTTTCTCAGTGCTACTAGCAATTTACAAATCTCTGCATATTGTGATTCTGATTGGGCTAGTTGCCCGATGTCCCGCCGCTCTGTTAGCGGGTATTTTATCATGTTAGGGAATTCTCCAGTGTCATGGAAGACGAAGAAGCAAATCACTGTTGCCAGATCTTCTGCTGAGGCAGAGTACAGGGCTATGGCAAATGCTTGCGTGGAAGTCCGGTGGATCCGAGGAATTCTTCTTGCGTTGGATGTGCCGATTTTATATCCTCCCCGATTGTATTGTGACAATCAATCAGCGTTATACATTGCAGCAAATCCAGTTTTTCATGAACGAATGAAGCATGTGGATGTGGATTGTCACACGGTTCGAGAAAGTGTTCAGCGAAGAGAGGTATCGACACGATACGTGCCAACTCGCTATCAGTTGGCCGATATTTTCACTAAGCCGTTGGGCAAACCCATATTTGATTTCTTGTTACGCAAGTTGGGCATTCTGGATCTTCATGCGCCAACTTGAGGGGGAGTGTTAGCGGGTATTTGTAGTTTTGGACTGTAATTAGTTTATCGGGCCCACTTGTAACTCATAACCCTAAGCCCGCTTGTACTTGTATATATACACTTGCTTGTGATTAATAAAATCAGATCAGTTTTCATTATAATTCTACAATAACATTACTATTAAGGACCCCAACATAACTAATAAGGACCACTAACATAACTAATATAAAAAATAGTTATACGAGTCTATTATGGAATTTAATTCGAGATAAACAACCAATTGTCCTTCGATAATAAAAATACGGACCCCAATTCCGGGGAAGCACTCAATGACAGCAAATTGTCCCGTTGCTCGCTCATCGATTCATCGTTCACGATTCACGACGAGGGAGAAATGAAATGAAATAAAATACTCCGTAGTAAAATAAGAATTCAATCGTGCGAAAAAGAACATTTTATTCTCACCGTCTTTCTGATCGAAAATCCGGCTTTTTAATCATCACGGAGCACTTCTACGGTGGTGCAGGAGTAGTTTTTGGGCGGGTCAATGGGTGATCTTGCGGTGGAAGGGAGGCCGTTTACGCAGCAGCATTCTCCGTCGTCTTCAACGGCGGACGCGGACTCGTTTTCAATAGGGCAGGAGCGTTGGGCGGCGGCGGAGATTGTCTCCGGAGGCATCCTTCGGAAGGTCCGACCAACAGCTGTGTCTGAAGAACGTAGAAGGGCTGTCATCGACTATGTCCAGAGGTTGGTCCGAAGATCCCTTGCCTGTGAGGTTAGATTCATGTTGTTTTTAATGCGTCTACTTTCTCTTGTGTGGCGTTTTTATCTCTGTCTTTTCTATCTTTTGAGCTGCCAGATATTATCGCACATATGTGTTATATCTATTCCTGATTCTGTATTATTCCGGAGTACATTATGGCTGCCAAAGAATAGTTTTTCACCAAGTGGAAAAAGAATAGAGGTTCAGTAAAGATGGTTTTACTGGATAGTGAATAAAAACTAATGTTTGTTGGAGTATGTGCCTGTTTGTTAAGGAACTTCATGTTGGCATGTTGTAATTAAAGTGTCTTTCATCTATAGGTTTTCATCACTTGTGATTGACTTTTTTATATAAGAACTGCCTCTCACCATCTCCAGATTATTGCTGTTTTGTTGAGGTAAAGTAAAAAACAAAATGCGAGTCGGGGATTTTAATCTTCCAGAATCTGCCTCCTTACCCTTAATACTTCACACCCACCATCAGACCCATTTGTGGGACTTCACTGGTTAGGTTGCTGTTGTTGTGTTTGTTTTTGTCTTTCCTTTGAAAATGTGAGGTCTGATGTTCGTGATTGATGCGTTCACAGCTTTATTTTTTCATTCATGTGGAAATTGAGGGATTTTAGAAGAGTTTGTTTAGACAAGTGAAAACGATGCCAACCTGCCTATACGACGAAGTGTAAATCTGCTAGTACCTCCTTCAGGGTGACTTCTGGGTGGTGTTGATGGAGTCTTAAGACTATCCTGGAACCATTGCGACATGGATTCCTTGAAGTTTAGTGTTTATGCATGTTTGGGGTTGTATTTTGGGTAAAAAAGGAATGCATGGAATGTTTATGGAAAATATGAACCTGTTTCACCCACATCCACATGTCCAGAGTGCACTCTTGGAGAATTGAAAAAATACTACAATAAGCCCATATGCATTAGTTTTTCTTCCAGTGAGCAGAAAGTGCATCTATATGTGTTTGTATTTACTATTCATCATGACTGATTTTGAATAAATATCAGGTATTTCCTTATGGATCTGTACCACTAAAGACCTATCTCCCTGATGGGGACATTGATTTGACTGCCTTTGGTGGTCCGATGATGGAGGATGCATTGGCTAGTGATTTAGTATCAGTTCTTGAAGAAGAAGGAAAAAATAAGGGTGCGGAGTTCATAGTTAAAGATGTCCAACTCATTCGTGCTGAGGTCTTGATCTTTCTCTAAATGACCAATGTTTAGTACTCGTATTGTTTATGCGTGGCGTTATTTTTTTATTTTCTGAATTCTGGTATAATAAGGAAAAGTGAGTCTAACAATTTAACATCATAATATGCAGACCTGAGGGGGGTGGGAGTCGAAACACATCAATGATATCATTGATATATTACATCAATGGAACCACATCAATTATGATTTATGATACTCTCTAAGTGTTTTAGACAATCAAAGCATCTGCCCTGTTTATTGCAAAATACTTCCTGCAACCACAGCTGCAAATATTTTTTTTCCTGCAACCAAAGCTGCAAGTATTTTCTTGTGTTCACCTTTATCCTATTTATAGTTCAATGTGCGAATCAACTCATTCTATGTTTATTTCTTTAATTCTTTGCATTTCTAAATGTGGCTATTCGTGATTAATCTTACTTTTGAAACAGTTTTTACATATTCATTTTTACTAGTACTAACATAAATACCACAGTTGTAAATACTAAATAGTTTGGGTCAAGCATCTTTAACCAAATAACCTGTATAAATTGGGATATAGGGTGTATAATTCATATAGTCATTTTCTATAGTGCAAGAAATGTACGAAGAAAGGTAGTTAGAGCATAAAAGTCTCTGGATGTTGTTGGATTCAAAGCACCCAAGCAGAGAGAGAAAATCCTAGAGAGAGAGAGAGAGAGTTAATTGCAAATGAGATTGATTTGGTTAGAATTAGTTTTCCATCCCCTTTCCACACGTTAGGAAGGGGTATATATAGGCTTACATAAGGCTACTTGTTCTCTAAGAATACAAACAGAAATATGGCATGCAGGCCCACTTATTGCAAACAGTACATCAACCCAATCACCTGGGCCCAACAAAAAAGGGGAGAGTAACACTAAGTACTGAAAGAAATAGGCCTATCTTCATTGCTTGGACAATCTTTAGACCCGTTTAGAACTCTAGATCCCTACTGCTGAGTTGGACCACCTGGCATTAACTGAATCTTTGACCCATCCTCTGAGCAGCCCAGACAATACAGGCTCGGCCTAACACCCAAACTCGGCCTAAATGCTCTTCTCGGCTCCACTCACCCAGTTCGGCCTCAAACCCTCATTGGCCCAAAAACATGGGCCTTTTCTTTTGATCTTCTTTGTATTCCTCCATGGGCTGGAATGGCTGGATACCCCCTCCCTAGGGTATCCATCAAATGTATAAGTAATCCCTTATATTCCACCCCATATATAATAAAGATTTTAAAGAATGTTAGTTAGTATTATTTAATGGAATTATGAAAAAAATAAAATATATTAATTAAGAACCTGTTTCGCAATGGTGAATCTGCTGAAATGACCAATGTTGCTGAAAAAAAGTGCTACTGGATTTGCCAATGTTGAACAACTAAGGCAATTTCAGTAACACTTATTTTAGCAGGACGGTGGGTCCTCCTCAGTAGCAAAAACTACGAAACACCCCAAGCATTGCCCTGGTTGCTCTTGCATTGTTTGTATCCAACCTCCAAATGGAAAAGGCAAGCACAAGCGTTCATGTTTGTGCAACGCTTCCATGAAGGTCAAACGCCATTTCAAGACTTCAATGATGCGCAAAAAGAAACGGAAATTGGAGCGGGAAGCTGAGCTTGCTTAGAGGAATTAGTTATGTGGGGTGTTGCAAAGGAAGACAAATAAGATGTGAAGAATAGTACTCCGTATGATTTTGGGACAAGTAAATTTGCATCTTGGTCATTCAGACAAAGGAAGATCCTGGAATGACTTACAACCAAGCAGCCACCAGTTTTGCTGGAGTTCTAAAATAGGGAGAACTCTGCTACACTTGAACTGTCACCCAGGTGAAGAAGCATCAACACATGTTAGCATGTTGTGCCTTCTTCAACAAGCTTGCCTGCCTTTGCAAAATTATCTGAGACAAAGTGGTCTAACCTCGTGAACTTGTACCTCAATCTCTCCATGGTCTTGGGGAACCGCATGTTCGGCTGAAAGGCTTGTTACACCACTTTGCCTCAGATAACTCTGCAGGCTTGTTGAAGAAGGCACAACATGCTAACATGTGTCATGGGCTGATGTTTCTTCACCTGGGTGACAGTTCAAGTCTAGCAAGTTCAAGTCTAGCAGAGCTTTCCCTGTTTCAGAAGTCCTACAAAACTGGTGGCTGCTTGGTTTCAATCTCATTTGTCTAGAAATAATACTATTCTTCATCTCTGCTTTGTCCTCTTTTGCAGCACCCCACATATACTGATTCCTTTAGATCAAGTTCAGCTTTCCGCTCCAACTGCTGTTTCTTTTTGCACATCATTAGAGTCTTGAAACGGCGTGTGACAGTCATGCAAACATTGCACAAAAATGAAGGCTTGTGCTTGCCCGGGCTGTTTCGTAGTTTTTGCTACTGAGGAGGACCCACATTCCTGCTGAAAATAGTGTTACTGAATTTGCCGATGTTGTTCAACTTGTTGAAAAAATATTGAAAATATACTTCATTTCTAAACAAATCAAAGAAAATAATACCTAAAGAGAATTAAGAGGGAAAAATGCTTTGTCAAAAAAGAGGGAAAAATGCCAGTATCCTTTATTTCGGAAACTTCAACAAAAAAGTGCGTTCTGAACTGATCTTTTTCTATGATCAATCAGTATGTTAATTTTTAGAAAAGTGGCTATAAAGTTGATAAGAGTAATTAATATGAGATCAACAAACATGCACTAAGACTACATTCGCCCACTTTTCTGTCATTGAATATACTTCGTTAGCAACTAACATAATGTTGGGTTATTCGGTGAAGGCTTTAGAGCTGTGGGCTTTAAGCCTGGTCGGCTAAAGGGAAGAAACATGGGGGGCCGGTTTTAGTTATTAATTAAAGGGCCCATTAGTTGTTTCTTGTTTAGCAAGTTGTTAACCCTAGTTTATATCTTATAAATACCCAATCATGTAACTATAATCTGTGAGCACCTAATAAAAGATAAACCCTAGCTGCAACCCGTGGAGGTTACTGACCGAACCACGTTAAATCTCGTGTTCTTATTTTCTGCTATTTGTGTGTGTGTGTTTGTTCGCTTCCGCTTGACCGCCTCTGATCTCTGATTCCTAACA